GAATTTTAAAAGCCTAGATAAAATGTTGAAAACACTCAGTTAAGGTTTCCAGCTCAAAATTCTAAAAACTAGACATATTATGATGTAAGCCTAGTAATTGAAGTTGTCATATTTCGAAAAATTAATTAAGTGAATGAAGTCGTATATTAAATCTGGCGCATATTTTCTCCAATGGGATCTTCTATTATGGGAAGTTCTCTCAGATAGAAGTCTTCTATTGGGAGAGAAGGGTATACTATTTTGAGGAATAAAAAATAGTCGCTCCAATAGAGACTAGCGTGAGTACCGTGACCGTAACCGTGACCAAAAAATATTGATCACGCCGATGTCTAATCGAGATTACATGGATATCATTTCTTTTTAATCATCCAACGACCATTCCATTTTCTTACAAATCGTGCCGTAAAAACACAAATTTGTGAGAACTTTGTTCTCTGTGGACAGCTGATAATAGATAATTAAACAAAAAATCGACGGTGTCTTCTAGAAGCATGTTGATATGCGTTAGAAGAGTTCTCGTATTGGTCATATCTGCTTTAAAATTCCTTGGCACTTTCGATTAGTGGAATGACCTAAATGTAAATAATTCGAGTTTTCGATGAGAGCGGCAGGAAAGAAATTCGTTGCTGTAAACTATATCTCGAGTGGAAAAGCATTGTGTGATTAATCGTAGAAACCATTATTTTTTTAGGAGACACGAATTTTTTTCAATAATTGACAGTTGAAGCTTCACACTGCATTTGGCAATCGAGTGAAACTCAAATACCATCTAGTTTATTCTCAAGTCTGGAACTTGAATAGTATTGAGATGCGCGTACATTGACTATGTCTGATAAGCTTTTAATCAAATATAAACATATTCTATTCCATGTTTTATAGTGTCGGCAATAAGAATGCGCATCCATCGTAAGTATCAATTATCTAGGTTATTGTTCCAATTATATTTGATCTTTCGTAGTGTTCAATTGATTATTATCAATATCTATAAAGGCAATCTTTCGTAGATAATCTAATGTATTTATTTATGATACTTACTTCGATCATAATGAAGTATCGTGGTATTTCTTTTAAAAAAACGAATACTTATTAGAAAAACAAAATTAATCAATTAAACGTACATTTGATCTGGCAAAGTTACAAGAAATTCTGTTGGAATGTTTATATTATCTTCAATATTAGGTTTTAATGTCAAACGTAATAAATCAAAATCTGAATAAGATTTGCCAATAATTCCAATACTACAATTAAATACTTTTATTTCAATTAAGAAATTTTATTGCAATCAAAATTACTTTTCTTTTAATTTAAATTGAATTTTTGGTAGAATTAATTGATTGTCTTTCATTCTGAATATTTAATTTTTACAAAACACAGAAAAAATAAATTTATAACGAATTAAAACTACATGCGAGGATTATCCAATGGATTTGGTGGTGCAGGTAAAATGGATGAATTTTTGTAAAACGAAGAACTGTAAGAAATATAATTTCATTAAAGGATATCATTGTTTTTTTTCAAATTATTTTACTTCAATATTTGTTGTTTAATAAGACGTTCTCTTTTTTTTTTTTTATTGAGAAAATAGAAAACATCACATTTAATATCTATTTAGTTTTTTTACCGTTTCATTTTTTCTCTTTCTCGTATTTTATTTTCAATTTCTTCCATATTTAGTTGTTCATTTGTCTTTTTATCTTTTCTCAATGAATTATAAAATCTAAATTTAATCTTACTAGAAACTACATACTCTTTAAATGACGATATTGTTCTTCAATAAGACTTTGATTTCGACTTTTTAATTGTTTTGTTAAAATACCACGTATACAATTTTTACGTTGAGAAATAAATAATTTCTGTCTTTGATGATGACAAGGTGAATTTATATTGAATTCAAATCCATATAATTCATCATCTTCTACGAATTCTTCTATTGATAAATAGCATAGAATTTTGATAACAATCAAAAAAATCAAACCTTGTCTAATTAATATTACAATGAAATGTTTATAAATATAGAATAATAGAAGCAACTTACTCATTGAAATCTTTTGCTAAAACACTATTTAATCGATTTTTTGATGTCTGTTGTTTAATCAATCTATTTGATTCATTAGAAATTTTATTAAAATTCCAAAATATTGAACTTGTACGTCGTAAAGAACTTTTTTTATTCTGTATTTCACTTGTTCTCGTAATTGCAGCTTTTTTAGCCATTGATTTTGAAAAAATTTCAGTACAATCAATAAGTTTATGTCGATTTATAGAATTAATTAATATATCATTTTTTATTCGACCTTCTAAACTCTATGAAAAAAACGAAACTTCTCACAGAATGAGTGTTCCAGAAGTTCTAAAATGATTTTAAAATTCATTGTTCTCGCATTTGACAAAAGCAAACTCTTTGAAACTTTGACAAATTATTATACCTATTTAATTTCTAAATAATTACAAAGTTTGAAGTTTCGATATAAAATCGAAGCAACAAATATTATTCCAGAATCTCTCTAATAAACATATGCCAAAATAAAGTAATATTTTCTTTCATATGCAGAGAATTAGATAATTTACGAGACCTAACTTTTCGAAATGATCACAATTCCAAGCAAATGACATCTGTGACTTGTCATGCTATCAAACATGTTTTTGTCAATCGAATTCAGCCAAAAAATTATAGTGCAACACTAACCGACGTTTGGTCAATAGGAAATATCTAACCGTACATTAAAAGAAAAATTACGATGATAGAAATACAATAATATTGAACACTTAAAAAAAATAATATTAAAAAGAAATGTAACAAATTTAATGTTGTTTTATATCAATAAGTGATAGATAAAATACCAACACGATTAAAATTAGTAATCGATCACGATGGTAATCATACATTAACGAGCATTGATAACTTGTCATATGTTTTTTTATTTCAAAAAATTAGATTGTTTTAAAAATAATTGCCAAAATGTTAGGGAAAATTAAAAAACAAATAGTACATGATAGTATGGTTACAGATTCTCAGAAATAGTAAAAAGTAAAAGTTCCAAATAGTTCAGAACTTCTAAAACACTCCTTATCATCCTATTATATTTCTATATATCGATTTACTTCTGTCATTGGAATTTGAAGCATTTCAACATCACCATCAGCTCGAAATAATCTTAAATGTAAAATATAGAATGATTTAAAATAAAATTTTAAGTTATACCGAGCTAATTCATTACGAATTAAATCAAAATTTTGTCGATAAAATGTGATCCAAGTAAAATATGTTGAAAAAATAAAAAGAGATTCATATATAGTTCGATCAATATATGTACATGAATAATAAAGACTTATTACAAATATATATATATATAATATAAAACTTTATCATCGACTTAATTAATTCTTACTCGCCATTACGCATATGATGAAAATATTTTAGATTAATACCTAATAATAATATAGCATATTTACAACCAAGTTCACGTAGACAAGCAAGTAAATTAGCATATGCAATACGAATATGATTTTTTTCCATTTGTGAACGATCACTATACAAAAAGAACAGAAAACAAAAGGAATTTTTTTTTTTAAATAATCTTAAAGTTTTCATATTAAATTCACATATATCGTTCATTTTTTGATGAAGTATTATCCATTGTTTCAAAAAACCAATAAAAATAATTCAGTAAATATAAAAGAAATTCATGTACTTGTGGCATACTATTTAATCACATAAATTTTTTTCTTCTATTAACATAATTATTACCTCACATATTCTTCAAATTCAATTGGTATATAAAACATTTCACTCATTACATTAAGTGATGCTTCTTAAAAACAACAAAAAGAATATGTCTTTAACATTCTGTTTGACTGCTAATCGTCTCACATTAAATAGTATCACATCATTCTCTTTCAATCAGGTATTTTTGAGGTACGACTTATCAGGAAAAAAAACAATTGAATTTTAACCTCCTTTTTCTTACAGATGTTAGAAACACTTGGGGATACCTACTATTTTCCTTTTCTTTACATATTTTTTCTCCTTCTCATAAAAAAAAACCAAAATACGAAGCGTATCCTACAGAATACAGTTCTTTTTTTGGAACTGAACTAAATTTTTGTAAGATATACAAAAAGTCAACGGTACAAAATTCTTTAAAATTAAAAATATACACACTTAAAGAAGTATATAATGCCTGTAGAAAAAATTTTAATTCGAGTAATTGTAGCATCTTCAAGAAACGGAGGCAATCCTACAGGTTTATTATGTAAAAATAAGGCTTCGAGAAAATCTTGATAAAACAAAGAAAAAAAAATTGCTGCTCTCATATAGAATATCCCATCTTTTAGTTTTTTTTTGTTGTTTAAGTTATATTTTAATCCATAAAATGCATTCAATAGATAAGAAACGCTTAGAATCATATTTAAAACAATAAAAACCTTAAAGAGTTTAGATTTAGAACACAGAATTCTCTTGAATATTTCATCATCGCTCAATTCAATGCTAACCTACAGAAAATAGTAAGTTAACACTGTCTTTCCATTTAGTATCATTGCAAATCTAATAGATGCTTCGATCACGGTACTTAAAAATCGGCCTTGATATTTAATCAGAGATCAATAATCAGTCAAATAAAATAAATTATTTATACCGAATATGTCTAATAAACATATTCTAACTTAAAACTTTGTTTGCTTAGAATTCTATATTCATTAAATATAGATTTATATCAAATATCCTTTCAAAAAAAAACCCGCTAAAATCAAACTAACGAATAATATCATCGAGTGTAATTTTGTTATTATCTTTTGTTTTAATAATATATTGTAAAGGTCGATTTTGTTTTCGATAATGAATTAAACCAGATCTTAGATCAATTTTTAATAATTCATTCGAACTTGACTTTTTATCATCATTCATTCGATGACGACTTTTAATCATATAACAATTAATCAATAGATTTTCAAGTTCATTTATACCTTTCATAGACAAGTTCTTTTCTCTTTTCATCCCATATCCATCGACCATCAATAGGAATAGATAATAACTAAAGATAAATATCATAGATTTTTCTTTTTTTATCTCTATTAATCAATCACCAACTTGATTAGTACATATCTCTGTTGGCCTATCCGAATTTTGCATCATTTACAAAAATATAATAAATTTAAAACAAGAAAAGAAAAGGCGCTTCTATGAATCAATTAAAGTGTTTTTTTTTCTTTCTTCTGTGAATAAATAAAAGCAGACAATGACAATCTTGTTTTATATATACATATACAATAATATAAGAAGAACCACACACATTTAAACACCGAGACATTCAAAAACAAAAAAAAAAGAAAAGAAAAGAAAAATCTTGTTTATACATCACTGTTATGTAAATATTATTAAGTGTCAATATTGCACATCAATAATTTCATCTTGTTCATCATCTTCATGTGATGAAATTTCTGCACATATTTCTTCACTACTTATACTACTACTATTACTTCTTATAGTTGTTTCAAGATGTTGAGTTGGTTGATGATCAATAATTGTTGTTGATTGTATTGTTGTTGATGATGATGATGATGATGATGAAATATCATGAGTTTTTGAATGTTTTGATAAATGATCCGAACGCATAAAACGTTTACCACATTTTGGACATGCAAAACGTTTTTCACCAGTATGTGTACGTAAATGACGTTGTAATTCATCTGAACGTGTAAATGCTTTACCACAAAATAACCAATGACAACGAAATGGACGTTCACCAGCATGCCAACGAAGATGAGCTTTTAAATGTGATGTTTTACCATAAATTTTTTTACATATATGACATATATGTTGACGTTTTGATGTTGACGAATCTGATAAAATATTTGATGGTTGATTTATACAATTTGGACAACGACAACGTTTACATCGTCGTGTTACTGAACCAAATAAACTTGATGAATGTTCATTAACACTCCACCATTTATCTGAAGATTGTTTTGATGATTCTTTACGTAATGATACAGATGTTTGAGGTAGAGGTGGAGGTAATAATGGTGTTCGAAATGCTAATGAAAGTGTTGGTGGTGGAGAATTTGAACTTGAATTGAAAGAATTTGATGATGATGATGATGATGATGATGATGATGAACTATTGGGTGAATTTGATGATGAAAGTATTGCAGCAAGTGAATGAGGATGAATTGGTGGTGGTATTGGTGGTGGAATTGGAGAAAAAAAATCAACTGCATTAAGAGGAAATCTTGCTTGTAATAATTGTAATGCTTTATGTCGAATAATAGCTTCTGTATGTAAACGATCTAATGGTAACCATGTTGATGAAATTGGTGATGTTGGTTGTTTTTCAGTTTTAGTTGTTGAAATTGAACGTGGATTTAATGGTATAGGTCGAGCAATAGTTGGATGAGACATTATATTATTTGTTCGATCCTTCAAAAGACGAAAAAAAAACAAATGAATAATTAAATAGTCAACATATAAATCATTTGACTACTAATTGAACGAATCGGAAATGGTAATACGATGATTTCTCATTTGTCTATCAATCATGCGCACATACACCCGTCGTCTTTCTTTTTTTGAAGTTCCACCTCCGAAGAAGAAGAAAAAAAAAAAATATATATATATATATACGATCCCATGCATTTATTTTTCAAGTGGCTCGTCATTGCTAACGAGCTGAAAAAAATCGGATAGTGGGTGGGAAAAAAAAAAGATCAAAAGCCGACAAGATCTGAATATATTTATATCAGCTAATTTAGTTTGAACAAAAGCAGCACGTGTGTATTTGCCTTGTTGTTCAGGACTCATTATTCGATGCCGACGACATACACTCTAATGTGATAATCTGTCGGTAAGTAATTCAAATTGCTACTGCCTATATTCATTCCTCTTTTCATTTTTTTTCTCTTTTTGTTTTTTGAAGATGACGAGTATAATATATGTTCGGGTTAGTATCAACTTAATTGGACAACAAGCGAAGTGAGAGGCGGGCGGGCGGGCAGGCAGGCGGCTCGAATGTTTATGCATCACATTGTGATGAAGTAGCGGTGCATATACGATTGATGATTAGTATGCAAATCGAAGAAAGCTTTAAGCTATAGCTGACCGTTCGTTTGATCATCATGATGATTGAGACCAGACGAAATAGTCTCATTGCCCAAAGACTTGTTTGTTTTTTTTAAATAGGATCTTTTCTTTTTTATTAGATATACAATTTACTAGAGAATTACAACAGCAGCAGAAAAAAAACCTAGATATCTGTATATAATATATTAAAAGAAACTTAAAATTTATGTTTGATTAATAAATCTTAAGATTGATTTTCTTATCATATACTAGTAAAACTTACCATGATCAAGTTAGTGGGCGTGGAAGACAAGTTGTGTGTCGGAATGAGAAATGGATGAGCCAAAAGGACCATTCTATTTTGTCTCTAATTCGATTGAATGCAAAATAGACACACATATTCACACCAGTCGATATTTCTCTCTTATTCTCTCTCTTTCTCTCTCTCTCTCTCTCTCTCTCTCTCTTCCTTTTTTAGCTTTTTTTAAAGCAGTGTATCTATCTTTGACTCCGCCTTTGACACCATGTACAGAAGAAAGACGAAACGCTTATTTCTATTTCTCGTCTTTTCTCTCTTTCCTTTTCTCTTCTTTCTCTATAAATGAAGATGTTGTTTGATTACCCGTTCTCTCTTTCTGTCTCTTCTGTGAACATACCGCCCTTCGCGTCTCTTTACACATTGGTGTTCATCATCCTCCGGTTTTGATTTGTATTGGTTGTTACGATTAACAGAACGAGATATTAACCAATGAAAAAAAAATAAGGGAAAGAAAAAAGTCTAGCAAAAGAACAAGAAAGAAATAATATACTTTCGTTCTCATTTAATTTAGAGAGAGGGAAAACAACAAAAATTCGTGCAACAGAATAGGGCGGTGTCGATCAAAGCGAATAAAAACTTAATCTCAAACCGATCCTTTTTTTTTCTTCTTTGAGCTGTCCGATGTGTTGTTGATTCAAATAATCAGTCGTCTTCTTCATCAACATGGAGATTATCGTTGTCTCTGGATAAATAGAAGTTTATAAAATGAATAATTGAATCAACAAGTATTTCGAAAACAAGACAATTGAAAAATAAAAAAAAATAAAAAAAAAAGAGAAAAGAAAGATTTTCCTAATTTATTGTGCTTATTCCTTTTCTTCTGTGTTGTTTCTTTCACGCGCGTTAACGCACTTAAAAAAAAAAAGTTCAAACGAGAATAGCGACACACAAACATACGTATATGAAGTGCCGGCAGCTATTTTGCCTCTCTCGTTCCATATACATCAAAATGTTCAGATTAGAATGAAAGGCATACATATGCGTTCACGCGCGCGCCTACTCTCTCTCTCTCTCTCTCTCTCTCTCTTTTTTCCCCTTGATGATGAGTGGGTAGTGAGTAGTCGATTTCAAAGACAAGCAAATATAAACAATCGGCAATTGAGTGTGAAATCGTGCACATATGAGTGTCGAACCGGTAGCATTCACGTCTATAATCATTGAAAAATCAATAATTTATATATATAGGTCTAGTATAAAAAAAATCAACGTGTCGTCAATGGGTGGTGTCACTTGCATGTCACATTTAAAAAGTGAAAGAGGACGGTCGGTGTCGGTCTAATCTTCAAAAGAATCCATTTGACACATGTGTTGTGAATGTAGACATATAAGCATACTTTTAAAAATTAGACCGATCTTCTTCACTATTGAATTTTATTGCCTGCCTGCACACTTTTGTCACACCTATTATCATCATCATCATCATCATCATCACCTCTTTGGTGTTCATACATGCAAAACACACGTGCGGGAAATTTTTTTTTCAAACGGAAAACTATATCCTATGCCGATTTGAAAGTATATATATATATATATACTTATACTTGAAGTAATTATCATTATCGCATTACTATTTAAAAGTCGGTATTCTTTGAAGAATAGAAATAAGAAGAAATGAGCTGCCACACCCTAAATCTCATTTTTCTTCCATTTCTTTAAAGTCAAATAACTAATTTTGAGTAGATGCACGCATGCACACGAAAGGTGTGAGAAGATGTAGATCAGAATTATATTGAATGAGAGAGAATGACCTTTTCACTCAAGGGATTCGTTTGTCTTTTTCTTTTTTTTGCTTTTAAGATTTTTTATTTTAATTAAAAAAAATATCAAAATTGAATACTGTTTTCTTTTTTTGAATAAGACATTTTCTCAATAGAATATAGTTTTCTTTTTTGCTTTTCTATCCTTAGATAAGAATGTTGCCATTAATACGGAAATTCAATCGTGCTTGAGAGATTCCAAACAAATCTAACAAGGAAAGTGATGCGCTTGTGTACGTGCCGTTTTGATGTCAAACAGTGAAGTTCGTTGATTAGTTCATTTGCCCTGCCCTCATCATCATCACAGTTAGTTTGTCTATCTATCTATCTATCTATTTATTCTGCATGAATCAAAGTTTTTTCTTCTCTGTCGGTTAAATCATTATGATCAATAGTTTGCTTCATCGGTCAGCAGGAGGTCTGATATACATCACACGTCTTGTCGCACTCCCACTTGTCTATATAACTAGCCGTTCATTCTTTTTTTTTTGTCTATATTTGTGTGTATGTTGAAACAGGCGGTTCCAATCACGCCTTTCGTTTCGACCGCAAGGGGATAAGGCCAATCAAGGCAGGCGGCATAAGATAAAACGACGTGCAACAATACATATACACGGTCGCCCTTTCACACCATCATTCCGGTTGCTTGCTTTTTGTTTTTCTTTTTGTCTTGACCACTTTATACACAACGTAGTAAGCTCTCGAATGAAAGAGAAGATTAAAATGTAATGAAGAGAAACGCTTCAATCAACATCAATATAGACTAATAATAGGTTTTCTTCTTATTTTTTTACTTTAAAACTTGACCTTGAAAAATTATCCACTCACATAAATCTGAAGATTCATTTTCCTCTTCTTTTTTTTTTTGTCTGCATTCAAATCAAAAAAAAATCTATTGATTCATTGAACTGGCAGCAATTTATCGGATTAGGTGTGCAAGTACTTTCATCATCGTCTCAGTTTCAAAGTGCATCCTCTTCTTGTGTTTCCACTTGATT